TTACATTTCCAAAAATATATACAAATACGGTATTAATGTTCAACAAGCGATTCACCTACAAATTCAATATTGACCTGACAATACCACCAAAATCCGGCGATTCAAGTCTATTATAATGCTGTCCTTACAGGACCGTTTGTGACATTTTGGCTTGAATTTGTGGTTTATTATTTAATTACACGATGAAAGTGGTAATTTATTTTTAGTTTTGTGTAGTGTTAAGATAAATCCTAGGTACAATAAATGATATTTTTACATTGGCTAATGAAAATGTAATCAATGTATTTTGCAGCTGTTATATTTATTACAAGATTTATGTCTGGAAATCTAAACCTACCTAAGAATTATAATTATGTAAAGAGAGCTGTATATTTATATGCAGGATGCCCAGAGACATTATTGATATCTAACAAAACAATAAATGATTTTTTGTTAAATATTGTTAAAATAGTAAACAGGCTTTGATCTTTCCATTTAAAATATTCTTACAGTTCTGTTATTCCCGTTTTATTTTATATGAGATGCCACTTCTATTATTCCTAATACCGATGAAACAAGAAATGTTGCTTATTAGGAATTTACACAACGCTCATGACATCAGAGACCATGTTTCAGTTGGGTATAATTTAAAATAAATAATTTTAAAATGAACCCTATTAAATTGTACATATACCTAACATTTATGGCATCACTGGCCGAGTTGGCATCGGGTATATTTTTAAATGTAGAAACTGAAAATTAACCCTGTTAAATTGTACCTTTATTTAACATTTGTTACGTCACTGGTGGAGTTGGCATGGTATACTTATTTAAGGCACTTTCAAGGCATTTTAAAAACATAAACCCGATCTCAACGAACTTAGAAACTCTTCTGTCACTCGTTATTTTAATCGTTACTTCCTCTTCGCTTTTTAACTGGCACAACAATTATTTACATTTCTTCATTCCTTACCGCGTGCGAACTAGTACGGTTTAAAGAAATTTTAAAAAACCTACTTTAAAAATGAAGATGTTAATGATTTTCTCATAGATCCCATCTTCAGATCTTGACTAAATGTATATAGAGCTATTTTCTAACAAAAATAAAAACATAGAAATCAGGCAACGTGGTAAAAATGAGGAGTTAAGGGGAGCGGGGTCTGTTAAACAGTGAAGAGTATAATATAGAATGCCAAGCATTATGTATTTATTCATTCTAGTTTTGTTTTTGTATTTAAATACCTGTATTATAAATAAAGATTTTAAAAAATTGTAAAAATTTTCTGCATCAAGTTTACTCTTTTCTCTATTAAGGAAAAACACAGTTCCTCAAAAAAAAATATCTACTCTCGTGACATTCCTGAAAAACCGGTTAAATTAGGGATGCGGTTGTCTGAAACATGGTAATTCAAACGTCAATCCACTAACTTATTTGATTTAGTATCATCTGCTATAAGTAAATTTAATCTGGGTAGTGCAAAACAGGGGGCAGTTGCGTTTTGCCCAGGAATATTATGTTCGATATTTTTTTACATTTTGTTAGCCAAGTCGTTACTTACAATTAGACAGAAAACCTTTCATGTTACCATTTTCACTATAAATTATCCAAATATGTCTGCATCTCTCAAGATTCAAAATTAAAAAATACGACTACATTTACTTGGTACATATTTTGTTTTAATTTTAAATCCTTTTAAAAGGGTCTTTTGGTTCCATAATAAAAGTTAGTCACTGTTTACTAGAAACATTCTATATAGTCTAAACCAATTTATAGATTGTTTTCGATCAATTTAATACAAAGATTTAAAGTTTTTAGCACATTGCAAACTTATTTTATAGATAATAAGAAGAAACTTGTAAATCATTAATTTGGTAGTTATCTCGCTTATAATGATTTTTTTGTTTATATGACTCTTTTAATTTCTAAATATATTTTGGTCTTACAATACGAAGCGTTTTGTATCTGACACTTTTTTTGTTATTGAACGATGAAGGTTGACAGGCGTGTACCTTTTTCGGAACAAGAGGCGCTTTAACGACGGAAATGATTTTCGAACTATCCAGTTAAGTTTTCGGAAAACTAGAAAACGTTTGAAGAACGTCGTCAATAACAGTGTGTCATTCATGTGTTTAATTTTGATCAGCTTTCATTCTAAATTGCATAGAATACTCTTCCTCCAATTTAAAATCGAGATTCACGCCCTACTTTGCACTTTATTAACAATTTTTTTAACATACTTCAAAATGGGAGGATATTCTCAATCCGTTGATATATTTTTTTATTTATGTTGAGCGATAATTCTTTACTACGTTGCCTGATTTCTATGATTCTCTTTTTGTTAGAAAAGGAATAGTTCTATACACATTTAGTCAAGATCTGAAGATGGGATCCATAAGAAAATCATTATCATCTTCATTTTTACTTTCCTATCTGTATACAGATATAAGGAAAGTATAGGAATCATGATTTTTTTCGACCTCGAGTTATCGACGGATTTTTACGTTTTGAGGTCCCCTGAATCCGTTTTGACTATTTTCGCGATGATGTGTGTGTGTGTGTGCGTGTGCGTGTGTGCGTGTGTGCGTGTGTGCGTGTGTGCGTGTGTGCGTGTGTCTGTGTGCCTGTGTGTCTGTGTGTCTGTGTATCTGTGTGTCTCTGTGTCTGTGTGTCTGTGTGTCTGTAGGTCTGTGTGTCTGTAGGTCTGTGTGTCTGTGTGTCGCATAACTCATGAACCGATACAAAAAACACCAAATTTCAAACTTAAGCTTTGTTCCAGCGTCCAATGTGCTGATTAGATTTTGGGCAGTGTCGGAACATCTGGGGGGGTACTTTATAGGTGGTCATTTTTATATTTTATGGAATATATCTGTTATTTACGTTTGGGGAAGAAAATTCTTCAAATAAAAGTTACTTCTTATATTATCTAAAATTTTTATTCTATACAAAATTTTCCTAAAATGGTCCGTATTCGAGAAATTTGACAAAATGTAAAAAAATATTTTTTTATAAAAATTGTTCAAACAAAAGTTGTTTGTAATATAATTCTCTATAATTTTTATCCTATAGATAATTTCTCTAAAATGAACCGTATTCGAGATATTTGAGAAAATATATAGAAAATATAGAAAATGTAAATTTCGAAATTTGAAGAAAACTCAAAAACGGATAAAGAAATTAAATTTTAAACTTAAGTTTTATTTCGGCCTGACGTGAAATGATTAGATTTTGGACAAAGTCGGAACATCTGGGGGGTACTTTATGGGGGCCGTTTTTATATTTGATGGAATATATCTGTTATTTATGTTTGGAGAAAAAAATTGTTCAAATAAAAGTTATTTTAAATATTATTATCTATAATTTTTGCTTTATATCAAAATTTCCTGAAATGGTCCGTATTCGAGAAATTTGACAAAATGTGCAAAATTCTGATTTTCATGAAAATTGTTGAAATAAAAGTTGTTTGCGATATCGATCTCTATAATTTTTGTTTATACATGATTTTTCTAAAATGGACCGTAATGGAAAAATTGTAGGAACAGTGCTAAATTTAAATTTTTCAGTTTTTTCATTTTCAATGAATATCTTTCGAGGTAGATGTATGTGGAAAATGTATTTATTTATTTTATCCTCTAAACATTTATGGAGGTGCTGCAATAGGTTGTACAAAATAACCGGAAAAAGCCTGTAATAACTAGATAGGAAAGTTATGTGTTGGACACATCAGATTTTTAAAGTAGGTTTTTAAAATTTCTTTAAACCGTACTGGTTCGCACGCAATAAGGAATAAAAAAATATAAATAATTGTTGCGCCAGCCAAAAAGCGAAGAAAAAGTAACGATTAAAATATTCAGTGACAGAAGAGTTGAAATCGGGTTTATGTTTTAAAATGCCTTGAAACCAGCATTTGAAAGTATACCACGCCAACTCCGCCAGTGACGTCATAAATGTTAAGTAAAGGTACAATTTAATAGGGTTAATTTTCAGTTTCTACTTTTGAAAATATACCCGATGCCAACTCGGCCAACGATGCCGTACAATTTAATAGGGTTCATTTCAAAATTCTTTATTTTAAATTATACCCGACTGAAACACGGTCTCTGACGTCATGTAAAGGTATATATTCCAAATAAGCAACATTTCATGTTTCATCGGTATCAGGAATAATAGAAGTGGCATCTTATTTAAAATAAAACGGGAATAACAGAACTGGCAGAATATTTTAGATGGAAAGATCATAGCATGTTTACTATTTTTAACAAAAATCATTCATTGTTTTGTCAGATACCGATAATGTCTGTATATAAATATACAGCTCTCTATTTACATAATTAAAATTCTTAGGTAGGTTGAGATTTCCAGACATAAATGTTGTAATAAATATAACAGCTGTTAAATACATTGATTACATTTTCATTAGCTAATGAAAAAAATGTCTTTTATTGTACTTGGGATTTAACTTAACTCTACACAAAACTAAAAATAAAATGTCACTTTCACCGTGTAATTAAATAATAAACCTCAAATGCAAGCCAAAATATCACAAACGGTCCTGTAAGGGCATATAGGTTTGAAACAGCGTATTTAAGGGTACGCTATCACGATGAGATATCATTTAATGTATAACAAATTACAGAAAGAGTTTAACTGGATAATATATGAATAGCAGACCATTTTTTATTTTAAAAGAAGAAAATTACTAAAGTTTCGGATAACACCTCGCGGTAATTGTATAGAACTAAAATCTAGTGACAAAATGGCTATTTTCCAATATTTGTGATAGCACAAAGTTCCAATCATTTCCGCATTAGAATATTATATAATAACACAATTCCTAATTATTTTAATAGAATAATGTATGTCATGAAATATCATACAATGCTTATTTCTTACACGTATGATTTACAGGCTCTATGTTTCCATCCATTTTCCAAAACAAGTATATTTACACTCTTTTCGTATCAAAGAATAACTAAAAACAACTTTTTTTGAAGTTTTAATTTCGATATTTTTATATTTTCAGATCACTATAAAATCAGGTTCAATCAGTTCGACCTCCACATCAGAAATAATTATCAATGGATGCAAAACACTAACAATCCAACAAAACGCCATAGCTGATCTCAGAAATCTCAGAATGATATCCCTCAACAGTATCCAGTCTATTTATTTCGAAAGTGACAGCATTAACTGGTTCGGTTATAGAGACAATGCCGCTCGTGCCGTAGAAGAAGAAAGATTCGACGTCTTTGAAAATAACCGTCTCCAATAGTAACATATCAGAAGTTTCAAGTCACGCGTTTGCGGGAAGAATCAGTGAAGTAACTTTCGAAAACGTTAATATACAAAAAATATTTCCATTGGCTTTTGTAAATTTGCTTCAGACGGAAAAAATAACAATAAAAAACTCTTTGCTATTAGACGTAGCAGTTCAGTCGTTTAAAAAATGTTCAACTGAATTTTTAGAATTAACTAACGTGACAGCTGATCTTATACCCAGTAGAGCCATTTCAAATATAACCGTTTACCAAAACGTTACCATAGATAATTGTAATTTTACCACTATACGAGCAGGCGGTTTTACCGTTTATAACCCCAAAATATTTCAAGTAACAAATACAAACGTTAGAAATTTAAATGGAGAAGCTTTTAAAATAGTATCTAGGGGTATCATTATTTTTCGAAATAATAGCTTCAATATCGTCGACGATGGTGCTTTCAGAGGAATTGTTTTAAGAAGAGATTACATTGTAAGCGATTCTAGGTTTATATTCGATTCTAACAAAATCCATACTTTGAATCCAAATTCTTTGCGCATGTCCGAGCCAAGAGTGCAATTTAGAAATATTATACTCAATAAACCCTGCGATTGTACTGAAGTAGATAATAAAATAATAGATAGCTCGTACTATGATGAAATCATGTGTATATATGATAATGAACCGTTCACGATGAGCTATTTCAAAAGTAATATGTGCTCGGTTGTAAGTCAGACTTATCTTATAATAATTATTGTTTGTATTGTGGTTATATTAATTGTAGCTATAGCTATGGGCTTGTATTTCTATTATAAATTTGTTTATAAACGTCAAAAATACGGTGACGAAAAGGAAACGAAAAACGGTAATATGAGTCTGATTGTACCGGATGGTAGAACTTACAGAGAAACTGAATTACATGTAATAGTAGAACGTACTGATCTCCTTACTACAGATTTGTAAATGTATATTTTATTGTAAATTAAAACTGTTTATATTATAGTTTTGTTTTAATTCCAAAAATTTTGATTATACTAATATATTTTTTTTGTAGAAATGTTATTGATTACACTGCACAACAACATTTCTGATGATTGAGTTAAATTACATGACACTAGCGTAATTTTTAATGAAGACTTCAAATCTGTAATCTAAATTTCTGTATTAGTTCTAGTTTAGAAAATATGACACGTGGCCGTTTCATAGTAAAACACAATTTGTTTAAAGTTAATCATATTTTATTTAGTTCTTAGGGTAAAAAAAACTTTCTTTTATAAGACTTTGTAAGGTGGGTTTAGGGTTCTGCGTGATTACAGACGGTGATTTGTGGGATTTGGCGGGATGTAGGCGGCAGCTAGGTATTGTGAAGGAAAACGGCACTGAATTGTACTAACTGTGAATTTAATAAGCAATACCGTTGCACAATATTAATAACTGAATGACTAACTTAAAAGAACAAAACAATTTGAGAAAACAACACATACTTTGATTACTATACGAGGCAAGAGAGAGGTCCGACAAGCCCAACATAGGGCGCGGCCATTTTGAACCCTGTGACACAGTTTACAGCTAAAGAATCAGATCGCTCACTCTGCGTCGGCACTTTGGGTCTCAATGTTTCAGTGTATACACTGTGCAACTCGGATAATACAATATATGACAACCGCCTATAATAAAACAGCAGTCTTCTGCGTATCCTGAATTTGTATCCCTGGAGTGGATGTTATTTTGGAACTTTCAACTGGCCCGAGTGAGCTAACTGATTCTTTAGCAATAAACTGTGACTTCAAAAATAATATTCACTGACACTGACAGCAGCAAGCAAAATATTAGGTGCGTTTTAATCATCCGCTTCTGCTTCCGGAATTGTCGGTTTAGTCGTTTTAACCTGTCAGATTAAAACAAGAAAACTGACAATTCCGAAGCAGAAGCGGATGATTAAAACGCACCTATTAAAAATATTGCGCCAAGATGTAGGCAACACGTAATAAGGGTTCAAAATGGCGGAGTTTTCTATCTCCTTTTAAAAGGCACTCAGAAAGCTGCACAGTGCGACCATTCTCCGTATAGTAAAAGAAAATCAAAGTATGTGGAAAACAATGATAAATTAACTTTGGAAAAAATGTCAGTTCACGTCTGTCGTTCACACCATGACAGTTGTGTCGATTCTCTCTCTCTCTCTCCCCTTAGTTTTCGGTTTTTCCAGTGGGTGGCGCATCTGTACACCACTACTCAGGGACGGCTCGAGGAGTATGCACGTTACAACTTCCTTGCAGAGGTTGAACCCATAGAACTGTTTTGAATGCTCCAACAATAGTCAGCCATCATGTGTACATTCCAGTAGCCTTGATACCGTTCCTCTATCGTATGAAGATCCTGGTGGAATCGCTCGCCCTGTTCTTCACTTAGATCCCCAAAATTAGCGGGAAAATAATCTAGATGTGAAGAAAGTGCAATTTGATACTAATGTTACATCCAAGGGTTTGAAAGTGACTCATTAGTTGTTCAACAAACATGTTCAGAATAGTTAGAACTTTTTTATTTCCTAAAAAACTCATTTTTCTTAATTTCTGTCATAGTGTCCATAATTTTGTGTCTTTTATTAATGATCTTATGCCCGCTTTTATCTTTTCTACACTCAGTTTCGGGAATGTTTTGATAGAAATAGAAAACAATTTCCAGTTTTGTTCTTTAACAAACTGTTTTATCACGTTTTGTTGTCCTGGAACTAGATTTTTCCGAGTAGGCCAATCCTTTTTGACTCAATATTAATTTTTAGCTCTACTATTTCACAAGCAAAGAAAACAAGGGTATTTTGTGTAACCATCTTGCTGGCCTAATAGAAAGTTGATCATTTTTAAATCAATACATATGATCCAGTAATTTTCGACATATTTAATTTTGTCCAAAACCAGAGCAACAGTTGTATATTCTTCTTTTACTTTTGTAGAATGTGCAATAGGCAACGACCCCAATTAATTCCCATTGTGTAAGAGAACACATTTTAGACTCCGTTTTGACGAACGAGTCTATGAATAAACGTCACTCACTAGAAACATAATTTTGTAATCTCATTGCAGCCATCAATCCAGGTACATCTTTACAAAATACGAAATTGTCTTCTTCAGCAAAATATTTGAGGAAATTCTGTTCTCTTGTGTAGTAATAAGCAATTTTAGTTTCGTTCGTTACCAATTTTCTGAATTTCTGAAGCTGACTTTGACAGTCACAGATCTCTAATTAAGTCGTTTAAATTATCTTGATTGAATGGTTTTGGCGTTCCCAGGGGCTCGATTCTCGAGATCATTGGAAAATTTTCCCATGAGAAAATATTCCACTACTTATATTGTTAGTTAATCTGTCAAGTAAACCTACATGTAATTTTACTCTTAGGTGAAAAGATCGACCCTTAGGCCCGATTGTACAATGCGAGTTGAACCTCGGTTTAGCATGAACCTTGTTCTTGGTGTTGTACAATACTAGTTCAGGACATAAACTGTGTTTATCTATAGGTTCAGCAAAGCAGTCATGTTTCCGCGCTTAAACCGAGTTCAGACCTATTTTTCAATTTAGTTAGTTGGTAACACACTAAGAAATAGCTATTTGTGTTACTAGGGAGGAAAGTGCCACTTTTCCTCCCGCGGGTTTACTGCCCGACGCGAAAATTAGACGTCTGACTTATTTGAAAGCTTATGAGGAAAGTAGATTCATATTCACACACGTGTGGAAAGTAAATTTATCCACACGCGTGTGATATAAGGCACTTCCCATAACACTAAACAGTGCAATAGGTGTCACTTTCCTAAGTGGTCGTAGGAAAAATTACTTTTGGAACATGATAATGAAAATGATCTAAATGCTGTTGATCCGAGCTGCAAGGGGTTTATTTTCACTACAGCACCTATTCGTATTTGTTATAAGGAATGCCCCACGTTGGGCGCCAAATTCTAACATAATGTTCGAAGGCTTCGGCTAAATATATTAATTAGATAACGAATAGTACGTTACGAGGTGGTCCACAATTATTGTGCTAGCGGCAATCGTGGTATTAACCGCAGATAGTTCTAGCCGGAGGTGATGTGGTTCGATAATTAAAAGTTCTTAAAACGGCGCCAATAAACCAATCTACTATTATGTGTGTAAGTACAGTAAATTTTTTTAAATATCACCTTCTAGACTAGGCATAATTTCCGCTATATGGTCCTAGTATATTGGTGTTGATTAAAACATTTCACCATCGATTTATTGATATCAAAATTGTTATTATAAGTATTCAAAATTTGATTACTCCTTCAATTATTTGTATTTTTCTAAATATTTCTGCACATATTAATCTCTTTCAAGATCTGTATGCATTTCAATAATACCTAGTATATAGCAACGAAAGAACATAATTTCAATTACGTGGGTATTTTCTTTATTACCAATGATAATAATAATTCGCTTACCTGTAAGGCAGCATTCCATCTAAGGCTTGTTGTACCGTAGGAGGTGAACTCAACGCCAATCCTTTGGAGAGTAAATGTCCATGACGAGCAAATATCTCTGAAGCTGCTGTTTCTGCAACTTCCATGTCAACATCAGCTTCATCTAAAATCGAGAGTTACAAAATGAATAATTTAATAAAATAATAAAAAGGAAGAATAAATATGTGAAAATAAATATTAAAACTTTAAAAATGTACAAACGTTGATTTTGATAAATAAATATTGCTCTTGATCTATATTCATGTTTTTTTTATTTTTCTCTTATTATTTAGTTCATTTTTTTTTATTTAAAGTAAATAATCTAATCAACAAGTTCAAAAGCGTGTTTTTGGGACATACTATTACAAAAATTATGTTCAATAGCTCATTCGATTCGGAATAATGTCTAGATCAATGTGTGAAGAAAAATTTTGCAGTGCATAAAAAATTGCAAAAGTTATAAACAATTAAACACCTCAAAAACATGGTGTTTGGTTTTTCGCCTATAGTTTGTAAACTATAAATATTTTTGGATTTTTCAAAAAATATCCTTAAAGAGGAGGAAATTTGCTATAAATAAGTTCCGACTCCCGGAACTGTACCTCCATTATTTATAATTTTAATTTAACGCTCAAAGTAGCCTTCCGCGCGCCATTTTTAGGTTGCGCGCACGGCGTCGAAACCGAGTACGTTACATAAAATAATTTTTTTTTAAATTTAAAAAAATTACGATGTATTCTAAACACTTAGAAGAATTCATTCCCGTTGGAATTTTTCATAAAAATTAATTTTCCAACAAAGTAGGTTATTGTTAATTAACAAAAATTTTAGAATTTCTCTCATCATTACAAATTGATAAAAATATTAAATAATTACCGTAAATTTTTTTTGCTTCGTGGAGCTCTTTTTATATACATATAAAACAAAATACCCTCATAAAAGTTTAAAAAATGTTAATACTTTGTTTATAATAATTTTTTAAAGTTTACAAAAACAGAAAAGTCACAGTGGTGCTATAAAAAAAATTTATTATAATATTACTGTTTTATAGATTTTTTATAAACAAATGGAGTATTTCATTTTTTTTTTAATTTTTTTTTTACAACTTTCTAGACAATTGCCAATTATGATTTCTTAATAATAACTTTTAATTGTTTATAATCGTTTTTTTAATATATCTATTGTTTAAATTATTAGTTAAGAAATGTGTTTTTTTTTAATCATAATTGACAGTCCTCTACAAAGTGACACAGCAAAAAAATGTTTTTTATTAATAATTCCATTGTTTATTAAGTTAACAATTTGTTATAAACAAATTCCCAACTTTGGTTTATTTTTTTCCTGAAAGAAATAAAAATTCCAGAAATGACTTAGTGCATTAAAATTACGGAAAAAATTTCATTCCATTTTATCAAAGTTGCAGCAGCTGATCCATTTGTTGACTTAAAAGTTGATATAACTTTTAAACTATTGGAGATACGACAATAAACATTCAAGTCATTTTTGTAGGCAATGAAATTATCTCTCAGATAAGTCATTTGTCAATTCGGTACCTATTGTCAATTTGTTGTTTTTTTATATTTGTTTATAAAAATTGATTTTTTTTAAGTTTTTCAAACTTTTGCGGCTTGTAGCTCAGTAAATAATGCAAATTCAATTATTGTACTTTAAGGCAATTCTGTTAAGCTATTAATTATATAACATTTGCACAGGTTTATTTAATTTTCAGTCAATTTTTTTATAAACTATTATAAATTTTTTACTAAATCTTTGGAAATTTTTTTACTTCTAGCTATTTACTTACTATTTTCTGGCTATCTTCAATCAAAAATATTAAAAATTATTTTTCCTCTGAAAAACATGCAAGAATTTCTATAAATAATTGAAAGAAAAGTCGTAAAATGAATTATATTGAGGGGATCGGACAAAAGATTTGAGCTGTAAACACGCAGCTGCACATTGAAACGTACAAAACTCGAAGCGAAAGACAAAAACGAATCAGTAAAAAAAGTCTGACTAAATTTTAAAGATTTGTAACAAAAACACTGTGCAATATTATGTAAAAAATTGAAAATAATATGAATGCATAAACTTTCCAAAGATTTAGTGAAAAAAATTATAATAGTTTATAAAAAGATTGACTGAAAATGGGCCCGTTCACTTTCATTTTTGAATGTGAATTAATTATATATTTATAAAGATATTAAACTCTTTTGTCTGGTGGTACTTTTCCCGTTAAGATATTTTTGCTAGAAGTAAGGGAATTCCCATAAAATTCTTTCAGTGACTCATTGCGTCAGAAAACCCCTAATTCCCTTCAAGTCTCGTATCGGTTAATAGTTAAAAGGGCGCGGTTGTCGGATGTATCATTGCACCACCATTCCTCTTCTGCATTTATTAAAGAAATTTACATTATAAAAATATATTATATTTTTATATTTTCAGATAAAGCTGGAAGCCTTACCTTTTTTAAATTTTAATAAAAACAATAAGTATTACTCAAGCTGAATATTACCAGATCGAAATTTTATTTGAGAAAATGTATCTGGTAAACGTGACAACGTTGAAAGTACTTCTAAATAGTGTTGTCTACACCATAGAAATAATATAGAAGACCAATATAAACATAACATTTAAGCAGAAATTAAAACCTACTGTGCATAAAAACGCGTCTCTGCGCCTGACATCGCAAAATAGTGTGTCTAGAAGCTTGCGCAATATGCATGACTTGTCCCTGTAGTGTTGCCAAATATATTGAACATACCTAACAGAAAAGAATTTTAAATTAATTAATTTTTAAATTATATGATTTAAACAGTTTATATCTATGAAATATCGCCACAAAATAACTTATAAACATTTAAATAATCAACTAATAATATTTATGTGTAATTACATTCCCAAAAATATATACAAATACCGTATTAATGTCATTAATACCGTATTTTTAATGTTCAATAAGCGACTCACCTACAAATTCAATATTGACCTGGCAATAGCACTAAAATCCGGTGTTTCAAGGCTATATGACGCTGCCCTTACAGGACCGTTTGTAGTTTATTATTTATGCCGCGTTTGAGAATCCACATCGGATGCATCTGAGATGTAGTAAGTAGTAAATCTTTGATCACGTGATTCAGTATACGTAAATGTAATGGGACAGATGTGTCCAATGTGGATAAAAAACGCTCGAGATGTAAAAAATGCATCCGATGTGGATTCTCAAACACGGCATTAATTACACGATGAAAGTGGCATTTTATTTTTAGTTTTGTGTAGTGTTTAGTCAAATCCTAGGTACAATAAAAGACATTTTTACATTGGCTAATAAAAATGTAATCAATGTATTAGGCAGCTGTTATATTTATTACAAGATTTATGTCTGCAAATCTAAACCTACCTAAGAATTATAATTATGTAAATAGAGAGCTGTATATTTATATACAGGCTGCCCAGCGACGGGGAGACATTATCGATATCGGTTTTAAGGCATTTTAAAACATAAACCCGATCTCAACAATCTTAGGAACTCTTCTGTCACTCGATATTTTAATCGGTACTTCCTCTTCGCTTTTTGGCTGACACAACAATTATTTACATTTCTTCATTCCTTACCGCGTTCGAACCAGTAAGGTTTAAAGAAATTAAAAAAATAACCTACTTTAAAAATAAAGATGTTAATGATTTTCTTATGGATCCCATCTTCAGATCTTGACTTAATGTATATAAAACTGTTTCCTTTTCTAACAAAAAGAATCCTAGAAATCGGGCAACGTGGTAAAGAATTATCGCTCAACATACATAAAAAAATATTTCAACGAATTGAGAATATCCTACCATTTTGAAGTATGTTAAAAAAAAATTGTTAATAAAGTGAAAAGTAGGGCATAAACATATATTATAAAGTATATAAAATGATAGATAAATCCAGTTTAAAAGGTATTATAAATAAACTGTGGAAATATCGAGAATCTCGATTTTGAATCGGAAAAATATTCTACGCAATTTAGTATGAAAGCTGATCAAAATGAAACACATGAACGACAAACTGTTATTGACAACTTTCTTCAAACGTTTTCTATTTTTCCGAAAACTAACTAGATAGTTCGAAAATCATTTCCTTCGTTAAAACGCCTCTTGTTCCGAAAAAGGTACACGCCTGTCAACATTCATCGTTCATTAAAAAAGTGGTAGATACAAAACGCTTCGTATTGTAAGGCCAAAATATATTTAGAAATCGAAATAGTCATATAAACAAAAAAATCATATGAGTGAGATAACTACCAAATTAATGATTTACAAATGTATTCCTATTATTTATAAAATAGGTTTGCAATGTGCTGGTGTGGAATGTTATCATCGACTAAAAACTTTAAATCTTTGTATTAAATTGATCGAAAACAAACTATAAATTGGTTTAGGCTATACTGAATGTTTCTAGTAAGCAGCAACTAATTTTTATTATGGAACCGAAAGGCCCTTTTAAAAGGGTTCAAAATTAAAATAAAATATGTACCAAGTAAATGTAGTAGTATTTTTTAATTTTTTAATTTATATTGAAAATGGTAACATGAAAGGTTTTCTGTCTAACGACTCATAGTCTCGGCTGACAAAATGTAAAAAAATATCGAACATAATATTCCTGGGCCCTATTTTGCACTCCCCAGATTAAATTTAGTTGTAGCAAATGATATTATCAAATAAGATGTCAAATCACAAGCAAAATCTCGTGACTACAGTACTAATGATTGCCTGTTTGGAAAAGTATCTTTATTTGTAAATATTTATATGCATAGTTATATTTAAATGCGCGAGTGTAATGTTAAGTATAAACAAAATCCGCCCATTATGTATATACGTTTAGTTACCGACCCTAGTAGATAGGCAATTTGTTATTGTTTTAAGTTTTACCGTAGGGAGAGAGAAAATCAATATTAGGATAAATGGTCCAGCTCCTTTCTGGTTACGTAGGTACCTAAAAAGTATTTTAGTTTTTGGTTAAGTAATTAATTATTGTAACAGTGATTTTCTTGTGATAGTACCTAATTTAGATTGTGGATTAAAGTTTTTGTATATCATTTCGCTGTTTAATAATAAACGTAGTCAAAACCGGAGCACGTGGTTTTTCTGGAAAGTATTTTTAAAATCACAAGCAAAATCTCATGACTACTGTACTAATGATTGCCTAAAATTAACTAATTCATATTTTATGCCATATCTTTCTTAATAAGGACTGTCAGAACCATATTTACCTTAACTTAAATTTTTTTAATCGTTTTTTGTATAGAATCATCTCTAAAAATGTATTATTGAAATATCGTGTGAACTATTTGTTCGATCAATAAAAAAACTTGCACCGGTCCTGTTCGCGCCAGCACCGTTATACGCATGAACTCCGACACACTATTTTCTCATTATGGTTTCATTTTTGATGTATGGAATCGGCTTTCTATACTATTTCTATGGTCTACACACACTTCTAGAAATAAATGCAACGTTGCCACGTTTACCAGATAAATATTGCAAATCAAATTTCTACTTTTTGATTATGGTCTGGTTAATTTTCAGCCTGAGTAATAATAATTGTTTTAATTAAAAAGTAAAAAATAAGCTCCCAGATTTAAATCTGAAAATATAACATCACGATTTTTAGAAAAATAATGGAATTTTACTATTTAAATTACATATATAAATGCAGAAATGGTATATTAGGGATACTTCCGACAACCCCGCCGTCTTTAAGCAGACGTGAACGGAATTAGGGATTTTCTGACGCAATGAGTCACTGAATGAATTTTATGGGAATTCCCTTACTTCTAGCAAACATATCTTAACGGGAAAAGTACCACCAGACAAAAGAGTTTAATATCTTTATAAATATATAATTAATTCACATTCAAAAATGAAAGTGAACGGGCCCATTAAATAAACAATTGCAAATGTTATATAATTAATAGCTTAACAGAATTGCCTTAAAGTTCAATAACCGAATTTGCATTATTTACAAATATAAAAAACAACAAATTGACAATAGGTACGGAATTGGCAAATGACTTATCTGAGAGATAATTTCATTGCCTACAAAAATGACTTGAATGTTTATTGTCATATCTCCAATAGTTTAAAAGTTATATCAACTTTTAAGTCAACAAATGGATCAGCTGCTGCAACTTTGATAGTACGTATATTTTCAAAGTTTAATAAAATATGGAATCAAATTTTTTCCGTAATTTTTATGCACTAAGTCGTTTTTGGAATTTTTATTTATTTCAGGAAAAACATAAACCAAAGTTGGGAATTTGTTTATAACAAATTGTTAACAAAAATTTTTTTGCTGTCACTTTGTAGAGGACTATGAATTATGATTTAAAAGAAAACACATTTCTTAACTAATAATTTAAACAATAGATATATTAAAAAAACGATTATAAACAATTAAAAGTTATTATTAAGAAAAAAAAAATTTTTTTAAATCATAATTGGCAATTGTCTAGAAAGTAGTAAAAAAAAATTGAAAATAATTGAAAATGGAGTATTTATAAAAAATTAATAAACAAATCGAGGAAAAAAAAAATTTTTTTTAATTAATAAATGTCTTTTTTCGACATTAAAACAGTAATATTATAATAAATTGAAAAAAAAAATTTTTTTATAGGACCACTGTGACTTTTCTGTTTTTGTAAACTTTAAAAAATTATTATAAACAAAGTATTAACATTTTTTAAACTTTTATGAAGCTATTTTGTTTTATATGTATATAAAAAGAGCTCCACGAAGCAAAAAAAATTTACGGTAATTATTTAATATTTTTATCAATTTGTAATGATGGGAGAAATTCTAAAAATTTTGTTAATTAACAATAACCTACTTTGTTGGAAAATTAATTTTTATGAAATATTCCAACGGGAATGAATTCTTCTAAGTGTTTAGAATGCACCGTAATTTTTTAAAATTTTTGAATTTAATTTTATTAACTTAAAAAAATTGTTTTATGTAACGTACTCGGTTTCGACGCCGTGCGCACAACCTAAAAAGGCGCGCGGAAGGCTACTTTGAGCGTTAAATTAAAATTATAAATAATGGAGGTACAGTTCCGGGAGTCGGAACTTATTTATAGCAAATTTCCTCCTCTTTAAGGATCTTTTTTGAAAAATCCAAAAATATTTATAGTTTACAAACTATAGGCGAAAAACCAAACACCATGTTTTTGAGGTGTTTAATTGTTTATAACTTTTGCAATTTTTTATGCACTGCAAAATTTTTCTTCACACATTGATCTAGACATTATTCCGAATCGAATGAGCTATTGAACATAATTTTCGTAATAGTATGTCCCAAAAACACGCTTTTGAACTTGTTGATTAGAATAAAATAGTAAAACCAAATTCCAAGACTTGATTTACCGATTTTATTCAAAATTCAACAATAAGGAGGAGTAAAATCAATAATTATTGCGATAGGAGAAATTATTTTTATCAATTTGTATAATTTTTAAAAACCATTCTATAAGTAAATAAATCAATCAATAAAAAAATAATTTTTTTGTTTAAATTAAAAACCAATTACCTTCATTTACAGGAAACAAAATATCTTTCTTCATTAAGCTGGCCGCACACATGCCACCCAAAAACGCCAATTCAGCTTCCAAATGTTTCAATTCGTTGAGAGGTTGATTGACCTCTTGCGGCCACTCGTAACCAATCACAAGGCATTTGAAACCATAAGCACTTAAACGCTCGTCTTTCAAATAATCAGAAGCCGTTTCCAAAGAAAATAAGACTTCATTGCCAGGAAGAATGACCGAGTTTGTTGGCCATTGCAAACTAAAATAATAATTGCAATTAGGAATAAAATTAACTAAAATTAAAGTTTTTTAACAAATTACTTTGAATACTGAGATAGTTATAAAAAAATAATAGGTACCTTCCATTAAACTTATGTAATACTGGCCAGTAAGGCATTGGAGGCGATTCCCCATCTTCCAGAAACAATGTATTATTTTTATCGTTATAAAAATCCATAGCAGGTACAAATAATTGTAAAGAATCTTCTGGTTGGACAGTAGAACAAGCTGGATCGAATTCTAAGCTCATCCATTTAACACTTTCGGGAAATAATACTCTAGAATGTTAAAAAAATAGTTAAGAGTTAAGTGGGCACATACAGCACACATTTAAATATATTATTAGCTAGTACTTTTAATATTTTATGTTAATTTTCATGTTTTATCATGTCTAGTTTTGTTGAGTAGAGACGTATATATTTTAATCAATAAAAATTTTAAGAAACATCCTCTATATAAAATATATAATTTTAAAAATACAACAAATTCTAAATTGTTGTTATCTTACCTGTAATTTGACACTGCCGATGCTTTGTAAGGATGTTCGCTCTCGACTACAGTGTAATGGTGGCTCGTTGTTTCGGTTTTGTGATCGAGATTTTCGTGATTGGATGAACTACTTAAAGTCGAAAAAGATTTCATTGCAGTTTCAGAAATTCCCATCAAATTTAAAGCTGCCACATGAGGTAGAAGCTCTTGTATAAGATTTAGTATGTGGACAGCGCTCTAGAATAAAAAAATATGTGAAACAAAGGAAAATATTCCAAATTTAATCAGGGTTATTTTTATGGCCATTGAAAAAGTTATCACACTGCGACTGCGCAACCAGAACCAAACTTCAAGAAAGCTGGCAAAGTGACATCGACATAATCTCAAACCTCAGATATAATTTTTAGATTTCCTTTTTCAATTTATTGAAATTTAAATTCGTGAGTCAGATCCACGTATCTGTAAATATGGAAAAAGAATTTCCAAGAAATATATGTTCAGTATATTAAGAGAAATGTACTAAAAAGTGGCAAAATAACTCGGTGTTAACTGTTTAGAGTTCACACTAATATTGTGATGGCGCTAAATATAAGTTATAGGCAAATTTTATTTTATCGAAGACTAAAACTATTCAAAGATTTTGAAAGTGTGATAAAATGAAAACAAAAGTAGAATATAACATAAGAAATTTTATGCGATATATTGGCATAGTTTGAATGTATACTAGAGGCTAATTATACCACTTGATTTACCACCAAACAAACGAGTCCAAAGGATTTAATTTCATGAAAGATCAAATAAAACAAAATTCAAAATAGTATTATTACTCACCTTACAATCACTTGTAACCAATGGACTGATGTGAGCCAATACCAATGGAAGAAGCGTAGTAACTATGCAAGATTTACTAAGTATTTCTGCAGCAGGAACTTCATCAGCTTTCTCTCTTGCCGAAACTAATAAATTGCTGGATTTTTGAATAATGGCACTAGTCATTGACAGTCCAGCAATGCGAGCTTGTTGTTCCAATTTTGTAGTAGCTGCTCTTCCACTTTCAAGTGGGTTACTAAAAAAGAATTAAAATCATATATAATGCTTAATCAATATATTTATAAATGAAATAACTATTATAAGATTATCCAGAGAGTTTGCTGATGAAACTGTTTAACTTGCTATCAAGTTTATAAAATATTAGTTCACTACAGCTCAAGTTCGAGGATTTCATGTTTTTAACGTCCCAGGCACTCCACTACTTAATATTATTCGTTTTGAAGCTGTTTCTAATAAAACCCAATAACATTTTTATTATGAAGAAACCATCAAATACTATCGATAGTCGTGATTCTAACTACTATCGACAACTATCGATGGTGGACAATTAACGATAATTCTCCATCTTTGAACGTCATTCTTAGACCAGTTTCGTCTTCATTGGGATTCATCAGTAAGAACTAGACAATCTCTACTTCAATTTCTAATGAAGTCTGCTTTTTGTGTTACTTTCACTTGTATATGTTAAAGATGGTTGAGAAAGTGTAGATAGTCAACGAATAAAAAGTGATAACGCCATCTGGACTTAGGAAGCAAAATCAAAGCTCGCTATGGTACCTAGTTCTCTAGAACAAGGCGGAATAACAACCCGACTGGCAATTATTAGAAGAAATAAATTCAGAACGTTCTTTGGGAAAATAAGGTTGTATAAACTTTTACGAAAATTAAACAATAAATTACCTGTAATATAAAATAATCGGAATTTGTCCTCTCGTAAGAGTAGTTCCATTAAAACTCAACGAACACGTAGAAAATGTAAATATTGTATTATCAGATCCTTTAACGGAATTTAATCCTCCGTCCCCATTATTTGTTCTTCCTCCGTGATTTCTGAGTCTCACTGAATATTTAATATTTTCCTGAAATAAAATTGTAATAAAAAATCATTTTAATGCTATTAAAATAAAAAATACCTTTATCAATATCGCTCTATCAAACTTGATTTCTATTATGTCAGGTGGAAAGTCTTCAGGACCGAAAGATCCTCTGGTAACTTCCAAACTATTCCATCGATGAGAGTGGGCATGGCTATCTAAAGTGTTTAGAGATGTTGTCTAAAACAATTACTAATTATTATAATTATTTGCGGTACATTTGTAAAATTACTCTTACATCTTCTAAAAGTTCTAATTCGTATTCATAGTGACCGATTCCTCCGTAAACTCCTACACCGATAATTGAAATTCCTGGACGATCGACTTGGAAACAAATAGCATCAGGTGAGCCGTTGCCGGTGTTCCATGTTCTTGATTGATTCGTTCTTGTAAACCGAGATGGAGTCATATGCAAAGTACGTCCGCATGTACCTTGCAAATCTTCCTACAAAACGAATTTAACAAATAATTTACAAAATGTTATGATTAATAAAAAAATACAGCGAAAGAGTAAAGGTTAAATTTGACAACAAGAAAATTTGACCGCTTTCGAGATTAAGGATAATTTAAAACAATATGAGTTAATTTTAGAGGAAATTTGTCAAAAAATAGGACATTTTACAATCTCTTGTTTTCTTATATTCTTTATGAACAACCGGGCGATATAGTCCAGATAACAAATAACGTTTAGCGGGCGTAAAATGTTCCTTTATTGCCCGCGGACACTTTTTCCGCCCGCGCGAACTACTTTACCGTCCGCCGGGCGAGACAGTAATAGCGTTGTATGAATATATTATAGTAAGATCAAAGACATTACAACTAAGAGACCAAATTGTTTACATTTTTATGTGGCAAATCATTATTTCCACCAGATTCTCGTTTATTGCGTCTTTGCCGATTTTATCAGTCTGTCAAAATTATTTGGAGAAATTACTTTCGAAAAATAAAATTTGATGTGTCATGTAACTATATTTTTATATTATATAAATAAAAATATGTTTTTAATCAAATTATTCTTTGAAGTTTTAATATAAGCTAAACTTTTTATTAAACAATCAATATTAATCTAAACAAAATATTAAGGTTTCGAAGAACTCCGTAAATATGGCAACGCTGAATATCTTATTTTACGAATTTACAATTTTTATGAATGAAATGTAGTACCGTAACCAGCCGCAACGTTGCCAATCAGGTCTAACAGCTATTTTGTATTTCTGACAGTATCTGACAGTTTCTGTGTGACTTATTGATTTATTCATTTATAAAATACTATTTTTGTGAACTTTTGTGAGAAATATAAAGAATTATGGTACATGCATGTGTAGTGTTCAAAAAGGTAGATCATTTAAGTCGAAATGTATGGTTTCATCGGTAAGTATTTTTAGGTTAAGATATGTTGTTTTCATTTGAACCAGTGGAGTAGGGCTTGTACAAGATTTGATACAATTTCTTATAGAATTTAAATTATATAGGATCACATAGTAAATTGTTTGAAAAATGATTATCCAATCTAATTTTTCAGACAATTTACTGCAGGTTTAATTTAAATTGTACAAGAAATTGTATCAAAAACTTGTGTAGTCTAAAACAGTCTTAAAACAGTTTTTAAAGGGATATTCCTTTTATAAATTAGTAAATTATACCAATAAATAATTATTGAATAGTGGCAAAGAAAATTTAACGTAAAATGTAGAATACCTTAAAAATGATTTACCTATTGAGCACCTATACATATTTTTTATTACTCTATTTAGGTTTCCGCAAGATCCTGAGAAAAGAAAACTTTGGTTTTCTCTAATAGGAATCCTTGAAAATCAGCCCCTTCGTAAAAACCCAGGGTTGTGTTTAGAACACTGTTTTCCTGAAAATGTTTTGGTACGTGCTAATGGTACTAAATATATTAGAAAAGATGCAAACTCCAGATGGTGTGAGGGCTTTCTATTTTTGGATGACTTATCCAACAGGCAAATATGGCGGACTTACAGATGCAAGTATCCAAAAAATATCTGCAAATTCGCAATATTTATTACCCCTAACATCACTAAATCCAAATCCACCCTTAAGAAGATTAGAACATCCTACAACCATGAAGTCTTCTGTTTCTTTTGATTGAATACAGTTTATGGTGTCAGATTATCGAGTTTTTAAACATAGTAATGGATTTGGGTTTAGTGTTGTTGGGGGTAATAAACCACAATAAATATTGCGAATTTGCAAATCTTTTTTGGAATACGAAAACTTGATACATGCATATGTAAGTCTGCCATATTTGCAGATCTGCAAAGTTGCAGACGTTCTGTAATCTCACCCTTACTCTTTATTTTCTTCTTTTATGCTGCCTCTAACTGTCAAGTTAATCAGCCAATTGTATAGAGTTGGATGGTGACTCCAAATGCGCTAGTTCAGTGTAATGTCATTTTGGTTCCACTGACATTTAATTCTAACCAAACTTTTAACAAAAACATCAATAAATTTGACATATACGTTTTTACTGTTTTTATTTTATTTCAAAATATTGTTTACAGGTCATAAAAAATAGTTTAAAGGTATGTAATTGGTAACTAAACACATACTTTGATTTTCTTTTACTATACGGAGAATGGTCGCACTGCGCAGCTTTCTGAGTGCCTTTTAAAAGGAAATAGAAAACTCCGCCATTTTGAACCCTTATTACGTGTTGCCTACATCTTGGCGCAATATTTTTAATAGGTGCGTTTTAATCATCCATTTCTGCTTCGGAATTGTCGGTTTTCTTGTTTTAATCTGACAGGTTAAAACGACTGAACCGACAATTCCGGAAGCAGAAGCGGATGATTAAAACGCACCTGATATTTTGCTTGCTGCTGTCAGTGTCAGTGAATATTATTTTTGAAGTCACAGTTTATTGTTAAATAATCAGTTAGCTCACTCGGACCAGTTGGAAGTTCCAAAATAACATCCACTCCAGGGATACAAATTCAGGATACGCAGAAGACTGCTGTTTTATTATAGGCGGTTGTCATATATTGTATTATCCGAGTTGCACAGTATATAAACTGAAATATTGAGATCGAAAGTGCCGACGCAGAGTGAGCGATCTGATTCTTTAGCTGTAAACTGTGTCACAGGGTTCAAAATGGCCGCGCCCTATGTTGAGCGTGTCGGACCTCTCTCTTGCCTCGTATAGTAATCAAAGTATGTGTAACTAAACGATTGTATATTTGATACATGCTATCTACTTACTTCAGGAATATATTTATAAAAGAGAAAAAAAAAACGATATAATTTAGGTAAACAAAACGAACAAAACGCACTCAAAAAATCTACTGTCACTTTAATTGTCAGTGGAACCATAATTACATCACTGAACTAGCGAATAGTATGGCCGGAACCCCAGTATATATACCAATCAGTATTGGCACTCTGAGGCGGCACGTTTGATCCATAGATATGAGAGGAGGGGAGATAGGAACTGTCATTTCAGAAAACGTTTACACAAGGAGAACCTGCCGGGGAGGCGGAGAGTCTGCGCAGTTGAGTGTTTCCAGGATTGTACTCAGTTTTTTTTATTAATTCAATAAAAATATACATATAATTAAATGTAAATTACGAATACTTTTTTAATAAGAGGAATACATAATTAAACAAGATTGTGTATTAGTTGAGATAATTTAAGAATAGCTAGTGCGGCGAGGGACGTCTAATTATTTGCGTTGGCGTTAAGGGGCAACTATACATAAATTTATATTATTCTCTTTAGATTATCTTCCGATGAGATGAGACAGGTTACAAAATTAGTTTTATATTAATAAATAACTAAATTTCATAAGGTTAGCTGAATACAACATAGGCATTCAAAAAAACATTCATCATATCATAGATAAACGAAATACAATGCTCACATATAGGTACGTAAAAATTGATTGAAATATTAAAAATTATTTATAAATTCATCTAACGAGTATAGTCTTTAAATTTTTGTATTAATTTTTTTCTTTATGAGTGTTTATGTAACAAGTGATATACATACAGGGTGACACCGAAAACTTCCCAAATTAAATATCTTTCTTCCATTAAATAATGTGAAAAATCGCAAAAACCCGTCAATTTTATTTTTAAGGAGGACACCTACAATAAATACTTTTAACACTCATCGTGGCTCAACCTTCTAGGAGGGGTAGTTGTTACCCTTAAATCTTAAATGGGAAAAGGGGTCAAGAGGCACATCATTTTAAAGGGCGTTTAATTATCTTCCCAATGGTACCCTAATTTATTAAACAAAAATTATTCTATCCAGTTAAATAACAGGAGGAATATCAAGTCTACATGTTTAACTTTTTATTTTTTTGGTAAGGTGACTTTTACAAAATAAATAACTTTTAATTTGCACAAGAAATTTTAAAAATAGAACACATAAGATCTACTTGTACACTATTTTAAAAACTTTTCAAAATGTTGTCCATTGTAGTGTAAACAGTAAAAAGTCTGTTTCCCAACTCCTCTCTAACATTTCGGAAAACTTTTACCGGAAATTGACCGGCATGCTTGTGTAATTCTCCTTTTAAGATCATCAATATCAGCAGGTTGTGTTTCATAAACAACGAATTTAAGGTGTCCCCAAAGAAAAAATTCTAAAGGAGTTAAATCAGGTGATCTTGGGGACCATTCAATTGCTCCCCTTCTGTTAATCAAAGGGCCTGGAAATCTCTGTCAGACGAGAAGAAAAAATGAGGTGTAGCAGCGTCCTGCTGGAAATGTAACACATCTCCTGTAAAACTAAATTACCTTCTGCATCAGTTTGTTTCTAGCTCCTGAGTTTATAAGAGGATCAATAATATCTGCAAGCATATTAAGGGACATATCGCCTGGCAAGTTTCCGTCATTAAATAAAGAACCAATAATTGCGTATGCCCTTCTTGAATAACATACCTGGTGTTCATCGCTCCAGTACCAACATTTGTGTTTATTACATTGTCATTTAGAAAAAAATATAAAATAAAATGTCATCACTGAAACAGATATTCATCAGAAGATTGGGGTTGGCGTTAACTTGATCGGACATGGTTTTACAAAACTCTATTCTTTTATCAAAATCATCTTCGTAGAGCTCTTGAAGTAACTGCATTTTACAGGAATGAAATTTATGCATTTTCAGTGCTCTTCTTACAGTCTCGCGTGATATTCCCATCTGTTCTGCTACTATTCGTATGGAGCTAGTTGACACGGTAACAAATGTTCCCAAAACCTCAATTAGAGCTTTTTCATTTAGTACTCGTCGGTTCTTTTCCTATTTTTCACCGAACCAGTTTCCAAAAATTTTGCTACCAAATCGAGAGTATACATATGTCTTACATTACAATTAGGATGCCTTTCATTTAAATGCTTCCCTTCGTGCGCATTTTCCAACCTCTTCATAAAGGATAATTATTTCGATTCTTTCCTGTAGAGAGTAAACCATTTTTGCTA